ACACACACACACACACACACACACACACACACACACACACACACACACACACACACACACACAAAGCTATGCAAACAGTTGCACAGGAATGGGCACAGTTTCTATAAACAGGCATGCAGAGAAAAAAACACACAAAAAACACTAATTCACACACACTCATACACACTGTCAGTTCATGCAGCGAGAGGTGTGGAGCAGGACAGGAAGGAGGAGAGGGAACAAAAACAAATCCAAACAGAGCAATAAATAAAGTTATAAATAAAGTCACACAGACTTTCTGTAACCGCTCTTTGATTAGAGGAAGAAGACGGTCTGTCCTATTTCTTCTTAAAGGTGGAGGGATACGACAGTGAGACGGCCTGAACACCGGGATGATGCACTCCACCTTACACCACCTAATGAGCTTCTAAAGCACTTAGTGTAAATGCAACCACCTCATAGAAACCAACTCAAGCACATGAACATTAGGCCTGGGCTGAGTAGTGAGTTTATGGTTTTATTAAAGGCTTTTTAAAAAGAACGGTCAAACATAAAGCTGTGAAAGTGAATAAAAACCTCACTGAAAATGGATTAACTGACATATGGTCATTCACCCCTTTTTTTATTTGGTTTAGTAAAAAACGTATTAAAAAGGTACAGTTAACACTGACTTAAAGCATGTGTCAAACTCAAGGCCTGCAAGTCAAATGTGGACCACCATGGCATTTTAAGTGGCCTTAAGGAAGTATTAATGTCTTAAAAACCAACATTGACCATAAACTACATCTCCCATAATGCATGTCCATTATTTTACCTGCAAAATAACATCATCCCACCACTCGGTGCAGGGTAGAGCCCAGGGTTCCAAAATAGCAGGCAAAATTTGCCGTGTAAAATCTCCATTTAACTGCCTTTTGTATGCTACATTTTGCTGCAGTTGTATTGGGAAGTGGGAATCTCCCACTTACAGGTCGTAAATTTGAACTGGAACACACCTACAATGGGAATTCAATATGGGAAAGTGGAAGGGTTCAGAATAGCCTATATGCCACGGACATCCGATCCAGCACTTGATGCCACTCCCAGCACTTCCGGTTCACGGTCAACACAGTGTTAGTGAAAGATTTTTTCACCCGACAACAACTCTTAATGATCTCCAAAGTACATAATTAGCATATTACATGTACCAACATTAACACAGGAGATGTACAGGTCCAGCCAAGTGGGAAAAAAATCACTCCAAAGTGAATTTTTCACTCGGCTTTAGTCTACGCTGTAATATACACTCTAACAAGTTTTTACTTTTGCATAAAACTCATGACAAAGTCGCATAAAAACATTTCATATAACACAAACGCGCGCACAGACACCTATCTTTGTACCGGCTGCTGTGTTAGCTTCCTGCTAGCTGCTGTGTGGAGGTGGTCTTTCCTCTCTCGTCTTGGCAGTAAAAGGGGGATAAATGTACATTTCCCTTTTGTAACCTCCGTCTTCTCATTTCTGATGCTGACTCTTGAATCTCCTCAGGTTAGAAATGCTGATTACAAACGAAAGTGTGAGCTTTTAAAGATAAGTTTTCCCTGTAATGCTATGATCCACTGCTGTCACCTCCTCATCAAGAGGAAAAAGGATTAAAAACTAACTACTCGATCGTATCTGCTGCTTAGTGGACACAACGGCACACAACAGAACTTACGTTTTATACCAGTAGATCACAGATGCTTTACATTTGTGACTTTTCACCGACTAGTACTAAGAGCTAATAGGCAGTAAGCAGGGAGTGGAAGGGAGGAGCGTGGCAAGAATTTTACCAGAAATACGTCATTAATGACCATGGCATATAGGCTATTCAAGACAGTAGCTACTCACCACAACTCAACAGTGAGTCAATTTGTTGTTAAAATGCTGTTTCTATGCACAAAATACCACATAGAGCACAGTTATTGTTTGTTAGAGGGGCTCAACCGTAGCAATGCCAGGAGAAACGTGGTGTTTTGTGTTTAGTCAAAGTTAAACACGAAACAATGACGTTAATTACAACTGGCCCTTTGAGGGCCACCATAATGCTCATGTGGTCCTTGGGGAACATGAGCTTGACACTCTTGGCTTAAAGGGACAGCTAAGTTTTTTTAAAGTAAGATTCTTATGAACAATCAACATCTTACCCATTGTACACAACCACTTGAACAGCCTCTACTTAGAAAAATGGTTTCATTTTGACCAGAACATCTAGTATTCCAAGTGAAGCCAAGAGCAAAGTGAATTGTTGCTGTTTTATAACAAATGCAAATGGTTCACAGTGGTTCAAGTAAATACAATTTCATAAACTAATATCACTGTCAGTGTTGGGTTACCAGGTTAGACTAGCAGAAACACTATACAGAAAGTGTTACAGCTAGCTGCTGCTGCTGTTTGCACTTACAAATAACCACTGTTTGCAAGTAGTTATCCATATCAAAATTGATGAAAGAGAACAATAAGCTAATGGTTGCTTTTTATTAGCTAGTTGTGTGGCAGCTGCTACTGATGCGTAGTTTAAAAAACGTTACAGTCTCTACCAATGATTCACTTAAAGTTACTAGCCGTCGTGCTACTTGGGCAGCACGATGGCTCAGTGGTTAGCACCGACGCCTCACAGCAAGAAGGTCCTGGGTTCGATCCCCGGTTCGGACCTGGGGTCTTTCTGTGTGGAATTTGCATGTTCTCCTTGTGCTTGCGTGGGTTTTCTCCGGGTACTCCAGTTTCCCCCACCCCACAAAAACATGTACAATAGGTTGCCTTCAGGCCCAGGCCTCCCTTGAAAAAGAGATCTGGGATCCCAACGGGACTTGCCTGGTTAAAGAACGGTAAATAAACTTTCATCTATGTGACATAACCCTCCTGGTCAGTGAACCAATCAGAGAGCAGCAGTAGCCGACATGAAATCGAGCTGAACAGCCCGGCCCAACTGGAACCACGGCTCATGGAGGTTCCAGAAATCGTAGTGGACCTGGGCAATAAGGGCTGATGAAAAAACGCTAAATCTGGGTTTGAACATGGCTGGGCCTTATGAGACACAAACCCTTGTCTTCTTGTTTCTTCCTGTTCTGTCAGAGAGGCTGATTTCAGTTTCTTCTAACAAACATTACTGTTTCAGATGGAAGCAGATCAACTGATTAGTTGACTGATTAATTAGGTCCGTTTCTTTCCTTTTCTCTATTTGGCCACACACGCTCAGCGGCCCTGTGTCATCACACCATGCTGCTTCACACATGGAAACCTGATTATATTAGAAAAACAAAACAGAGTCAAAAGCTGACAGTGTGACAGGTTAGTATAACGGAAATTGCAGTCAGCTAGTCTCACACACCTCCGGCCTAGCTGGATGTATGCAAGAGCATAAAAAAAACTTTTTCCCACTTTATGAGTTTGAGGATATTTTGCATTCCTATATAGCCAGATATTAATCAAAGATTTTACTCTGTTTGATTCAAAGGGAGAGTCTTTCTCATCTCCACAGCTGAACGATGACTGGAGGCTATTGGTGTAGCAGAGGAGAACCAAAGACAAAAATCAAAAATCAGTATTTTTTTTTTCTTTGTCAAGTTCTAGTAGAATGAATTGGATATAAATATATTATAATAATATATATGGCCCAAAAATAAAGAAAATATAAATGGGCCATTGGCTTCCTTTAATCAAAAAAAGGGCAATGTTCTGTCTTCAGAACAGTTTTTTTAAGTGGCAAAATCATTTTTGTTTCTTATTTTCTTCAGCTTTACAAAGTGTCTGATAGAGCAGCCTGGTACTTGGTGGGACAGGAAAGTTCACCCACCTGGTCTGGCCAGGCAGACAGAAGCAAATTCTCTGCATCCTTAGAGATTATCTGAAGAACTTTATTTGACGTAACCCACGTCTGGTATCCAAGCCCTAAAAGTGGAGTGTTATAAAGTGCACCTGTGTTTTATTACCACCCTGATGAGTTCGGCTTTCCCAGGCCAGGAAAAAAAAACGTCAGGGAGCGAGAACGGGGAGAAGAGGGGGGTAAAAAAATGGGTATTATTGATAAATTTAAGAAAAAAGTAATGCCCTGACATAGTTTACAGTAAAGTAGATACTGTCCATTTCAAAGTAAGTTACCCATTCTTTTTTTTTCTGAAACTGCAGATAATTTTAAAGAAAAGGGAAAACAATTAAACATATTAAAAATAATAATAAAAATCTTTTTGATTTAAGTGTGAAAAACAGGATCAGTGATTTGTAGCGACTGTAAAGAAGGGGAAAGAGAAAGACAGATGTGTTCAGCAGAGGACCTGGAAAGAATGATCCACAAGTGATTTATGACCTGCTTTGACACTCCTGGAACGTTACACATAGAAAGAGTGCGTGCATGTGTGTGTGTGTGTGTGTGTGTGTGTGTGTGTGTGTGTGTGTGTGTGCGCTCATCTGCTTGTATTTGCAGGCGTTACCCTATAAAGCAGAAACTTCTGAAAACAACATGTGCTCTGATAAAAACTGATAAG